TGCCTCTCTTTTCATCACTACTCTGAAACGGTTCACCTGTCTTCTCACCATGCTGTTGAGATGAAACACCTTTAATCTAACAGATAAGTAATGCAATAATATACAGTACAGAGGAACAGCTGAGACGTGAGCAATTACACAGCCATTAGTGTAAGAGATTAATGAAGGGGTCCATTAACTTCCACATGCAGTTTAATGACACCACTAGTATCCCTTAGTCAGTGTGTGTGTGTGTGTGTGTTTGTTGCCTGGTACTTCTCATGTTGTGGGGACATAAATCTGTTTACGCAGTCACATTGTGGGGACTATAGGACGTGTAGAAGACAGGCAAGTTGGTTGAAATGCTTTAATTTATTTATTTGGTAGTTAGGTTGGCATCAAATAAAAGTCAAGTAGAAGGGAGAATGTGAAAACCTTTCTCAGTGTCAGACTTTCACGCGTAACATATGGTTTATTTCCTGGTGCCAGTACGTACCAGTGTAAACTCAATTCGTATTGAACCTGCTAAATATACTAGTATACAGTATATACCGATTAGTTCAATTTGGAACAGCACTAGTGTGTGTGTCCTTGCCTCCTCCCTGTTAGGGATTCTCCCTACAGAGCTTCGATGGTTTCTCTGCATCACTACATGGTCTAATCACTTGTACCAGCTGTCAGCGTGTCGACTTCCCTCCTTCCTTTGTCTGTCTGTTGGCACCTTTTAACCTCACATCTCCTGCAGTTGGCCATAATGGACTCACCCTGTGCTCTATTCCCACTGTCTCAGAAATATATGCTCTATAATGCAGGCCTGCACACTGCATTATACAGAGAATTCTTTCTGTTATTTAGCCTTGCCTCACTTACATATATAGTGGTATATAAATAATAAAGACACTTGCCAGTAAATGCAATACAATTCAACAGCAGCACAAGTCTCCAAAATGATCACATAGTTGAATGAATACCTCTCAAAACAGTTTAAACAAAAACCAAACATTATCATTATCATGAACTCTTGGACTAGACCACATTAGATTATCTAATAAACTGCTGAGTATAATTTCATTTTTATTTTAATATGCTTTAGGCCTAAAACTGTCAGATTTAAGATGTTTGACTCACCATGTATAATTTTAGTGTGACTGTCCTCAAGTGATTAAAACTTAAATTTCCAGAAATGATACTGAACAATACTGGGCCTTTGTGTCCTCAGTGGCATGTAAAGCACTGTATGTTTGAGTGTCTGAAATGATGTTTTTGATGTCTGATGTGTTTTTTAAAAACTGGCTCATAAATAACTAACATCACTTCTGTTGAATTCGCTGTGTCTCAACTCAGACATTTTGTCACTGAGCAGGACCACCCTTTTCCGACTGAGAACCATGGCCTCGGATTTGGAGGTGCTGATTCTCATCCCAGCCGCTTCACACTCGGCTGCAAACCGCCCCAGTGCATGCTGGAGGTCCTGGTTTGATGGGGCCAACAGGACAACATCGTCTGCAAAAAGCAAAGACGAGATCCTGTGGTCCCCAAACCGGACTCCCTCCGGCCCCTGGCTGCGCCTAGAAATTCTGTC